AAATGTCACTTTCCACACACGTAAGTGTATACTATACTTGTTTCTTTCGACTTACTTCTGTTCTGAATAATTCCTACAAAACGGAAAGCACATAAAATGTTTGTAAATATGCAATGTTGCCACATTCACTGGCTCAAGATGATACGGAATTACTTTCAATACGTATATATAATTATATACAGCAAATACCTACCTAAGCGCCGCAAACGTCAAATTGTTGAACTACATATTGGAGTTTCGTATATTCCTGAACCAATAAAAAAGGGGGAATATCCGGCAATGTGTTGGGCGTGAAGATTTGAAAACATAATTTACAGATTCCTTTAATATGGAACTATTACAATCAAGTTTCACTTTAAGCATAGAGTGGGTATTAAATAATTTAACACAGCAAAACAAACTTGAACCAATATACTGGTTCAGGTTTGTGATGGTGGTTCAAGTTTGTTAACCCAAGTTACTACTTCTGGTTCAGGTTTGGATGGTTACCGTAAATATATATATATATATATATATATAAAGAAAATAAAAAGTATGCTCGTTTAAATCATTGCACCTATTTTTAGTTGTTTTTTACTTACTTTGTTTTTTTAAATAAATAATAACATTTATTTTGACTTTTACAAATTTTATACTTAATAATGGATGTTCAACTTATACAGAACAATGTTTTTTAGCATGATATTCTGCTATGAAAGAAAAAGAAATAATCTCAGGTGTTATATATTCTTCTTCAACCAATTATGTATTAACTTTAGCTTCTAAAATTCCTGAGATTTTTACTAGAATTATAATCCAGCACAAAGGAAACCTAAAACACAATATTTTTAACATTTATTTTTAGTGATTAAAATATTATTACACTAGGGCGACCATACTTACAGCAATTTTTCTGTATTGTAAAGCATTTTTAAAGTTTGTCCAGCAATTGGTATTGTGCAGCAAACGTACAGCAAAATGGCATAGGTATATATATCCAGTGAAATGCTGTATTTATCCACCCAAAAGGTCACTACTGTCCAGCAATGGTAATACTTAATTTACTGAAACGTAACAAATTTAAATGTTATTTATCTTTAGTGAACTACATGAGCACTTATATACTGCTGTTCTAGCAAGAAAGGTTTTATCTGCAAAACTAGCAGTTTTTTTTATGTGCATTTGTCTACATTTTATCTTTCTCAATACTGAAAAGGAATGTCTTATTTGTAACAAAGGTACTAAAATGTTAAAAAGTTACACAAAAAAAGGTTTAAAAGATAATAAATATAAATTTTCAGATAGGACTTCTCTTGTTAGGATGGCAGTATATGACTTCTCTGTTTTTGTATTTTTATAATTGGGAGTAGGGTTGAGTATCGGTCAAAGGTATCAATACCGGTATCATGTGAGATACTTTGTGGTAGAGGCATCGATACTGTTAGATATTATGTTAAAGATATTGATATTTATAAGTCTCGAGTAACAAAGTATCGAAAAAGCAAAAGATTTTTGTTAAACGGCTGGCAACCCCCATTCAACAGGACGGAGTAGGGAACTTAACTAATAACAAGAGTGCATCAGTAAAGTATATTCTGTAGTCGACACCTTTTCTTTCTCTACTGGTACTCTACCTGGTACAAGTTATAGTGTCAATAACTGGCAATTTACCTTATAATTAAATAACAAAAAAACAGTGGTAACGCTTAATCATATTACCAAGTTTCACCACATGCAAAAACTAAAATATTTCAGTACAAATATTTGAACAAACCTTATAATCTCTGACCACACACATAGCGATACAATACTTGCTTCTAAGTATCACTATGGCGATAGTATTGGTAATTCAGTGCCTAAATATCGATACTTTCATTGTTTAATATCGTTACTTCTACAGTATTAAGGCATCAATAAGATCCCTATTATCGTGTAAAATAAATATTTCATCATTTAATTGTATCTACTTGTTTACAATGATTTATTTTTTATTGTATTTGGAAATTGAAATTTTACCATCTAAAACAACAGACAATAAATTAGAAAATTAGAAAATTTATTGAAAAGAAGAAAACAACTTACCAAACTTATTCAAACCTATAGTTTCCAATTTCTTTAAAATCTGAAATACATGGAGGAAGGAAATACGTACAAGAAAAAGTGACAAGTGACATTTTTTTATGTTTTGTTGGTTATGACAAACGAATGGCTACGTTCGAAAGTCCATAGTACTTCTCGTGGAAACTTTTTTAGCAAGTTACTTAATTACGTTGTGTTATCATAACAGGCAGGTTAAATACGTAAGTAACAAATAGATGTTTCGCGAGGTTTTGATTTCCCTCAACAAATTCTCATTAACGTTGCAATTACGTTGTATGGGTATGTTATTATGTTCCCTTAAAACAACATCGCCGAAAAGCTTGGTAACGTTATGTGCTAGCTGGGAGGTGTGTCCCCTTACATTAGTTAGGCCCTAATAGCCTCATTGTGCATCCTCCACATGCTGCCTTTCAGGTGAGATTTATATAGGGATGACTACCTCTCAGATCGTCAAAAGACCTGCAGATCTACTCGAGATAAAATTGCAAAATACATTTATTTGCTGTATTAAGTTTTTTTAATTTCAAGCCAGTCCAACAAAATGTAACCATTTCCAAATGATAAAATTACACTTCACTTGACGTCCCGGCACTTCCGACTCGAAGGTTAAGTTGTTAAAAGCCTGATCTACACCATACTTACAAGTTGTATTATTTTTATAGCAACCGTATAACAACTTTGACAAAAGTAGCTATTCTAGTATTCACGGTCGCTATAAAGTTGTATGTGTGGTGTAAACCAGGCTTTTAACAACTTAACCTTCAAGTCAGGAGAGACAGGACCAATGAGGTTTATTTCTTCCGGTCATGGATGTTACGTGAAATATAATTTATCATTTGAGACTGATTTGAAATTAAAAAAAAGTCATAAATATGTAGTAGGTGTAAACTTTCATCAAGACAGTAAAATTTAAATGTGCAATTTTATCGCAAGGAGACATGCAGGCCTTTTGATGATCTAAGAGGTGGTTCCTATAGACAGCTCTCAGTGACCTTAGGGCCGATTCCACCGTTGTGTTAAACGGAGATTAAAATGACATTGTTAATGTAAAAATGTCATTTCAAACTTCGTTTAACACAACGGTGGAATCGGTCCTTATAATATCAACCAGCAGACATTTTGGAGAGCTGAGAGACAGGTCTTAAATTCCCGTGAAGGATGCACAATGGGCCTATTGGGGCCTAAGTGACATGGAGGGTCACTCATCCTTACATATACAGTTCGCAAGGAGTAAAAAAGCCTTTGCTGAAATCTTACTTCACTCCTAAATCAAACTATTAGAGAAAATAATATATCTATTTACTTCTGAGACATCTATTATTCTATCAGTAAATATACCTTTCATTAATTTCTTGGTCTATTAAAATATTTATTATCCAGGGTCCATAATAGTTCTTTCTTAGTAACTAGAGTTGTTAGGCTTACCCCCGTATGCACCGTACACGTTTAATCCAAATCAAGGGTTTAATCGAGTTTAGTACCATAACTAAATATGGTACTAAACGCGATTAGACCCTTGGTCTGGATTAAACGTGTACGGTGCATACGTGCGTTAACCATCAAGAATATTTGGTTGCTTCCAAATAACTCTGAATCCACTTTTGTAACCACTAGTTGTTACAGATTTTACTTAGAGAATCCTAATTTTCTCAAAATGGTAATACAACAACGTGACCTTGATCATAACAACTTGGTCGGTAGCATAACTGTATGATACAGCATAGACTAATTTAGAAATCGTGAATTCTAGAATAGCTACTTTTGTCAAAGTTGTTATATACAGTTGCTATGAAAGTGGTAAGATAGCAAGTGGTTAGAACACATACTTTGATTTTCTTTACTATATGGCGCAAGAGAGAGGTCCGACACGCCCAACATAGGGCCCGGCCATTTTGAACCCTATGCAACAGTTTATAGCTAAAGAATCAGATCGCTCACTCTGCGTCGGCACTTTTGATCTCAATGTTCCAGTTTATACACTGCGCAACTCGGATAATACAATATATAACAACCGCCTATAATAAAACAGCTGTCTTCTGCGTATCCTTAATTTGTATCCCTGGAGTGGATCTTATTTTGAAACTTTCAACTGGTCCGAGTGAGCTAACAGATTCTTTAGCAATAATATGTGACTCAAAAAACTATTCACTGACACTGACAGCCGCAAGCAAAATATCAGGTGCGTTTTAATCATCCGCTTCTGCTTCCGGAATTGTCGGTTTAGTCGTTTTAACTTGTCAAATTAAAACAAGAAAACCGACAATTCCGAAGCAGAAGCGGATGATTAAAACGCACCTATTAAAAATATTGCGCCAAGATGTAGGCCACACGTAATAAGGGTTCAAAATGGCGGAGTTTTCTATCTCCTTTTAAAAGGCACTCAGAAAGCTGCGCCGTGCGACCATTCTCCGTATAGTAAAAGAAAATCAAAGTATGTGGGTTAGAACGTTGCCAGATTATCCTTCCTCCATGGTTGCCAGATAACAACTATAGTTACAGAATAGACCCCTATAGTTCTTTATACAATGGTACTGTCTATAAGTATAAGTATTGTCTGTGACCCCATAGATGGCGCTAAAAATGCGGGAGAAGATTTTAATTAGGCATTCCAAACAAATGAATTACCAGTGGGCAGGTTTGGTATATCTAAGGGTGGCGACATATGGTGTATTCTATCTACTTTGCGTAAAATCATGAATAATGGATTACATTTAAATATTTTATGTCAAACACAATAAAAATAATATTTAAAAAACCCACCTATACATTTCTTCATAAATTGGCAGGCTTGGCGAGTACTACTTGGAATAAAAATAGCGTCCAAGTTGCAAGACTATGTCGCTACCCCCTTAAATATACAAGAATTTCCCACTGGCACCTATTGTTTGACAGGTCGTTGGAATGTCTAATGTGATGCCTTTATAATTGACATCTTAATAACCTCAAAAACAAAAATTAATTTTTTTAAATATTATAAGCGATTTATACAGTACAAAAAAGAAAAGAAGACGTGATAAGATAGTTTTAATATACCATTTAATTTTATCATGATTTAGTTTGTAATCATAAATTAAGTGCGGGCATTTATTAAATAAATATATAGTTTATCAGAACCCCTAGTCTTTCAAAGATGGAAAACGAAAACCAAGAAATAGATTTGCGAAGGAAACTATCAGAAATGATGAAAGACCTATCCTATTTATACAAGGAAGCTCATACACAAACGGAGAAGCTTTCAGAAATAATGAAGAATGATAATGAATCGGTGGAAGCTTTAGGAATAAGATTAATAAACATATTAAAAACTCTAAAAACAAACTCATCAGTGTTTATCAATAATTTATACAAAGATGTAGTTTCATTTAATTCTGATCAATCAGAAAGTGAACATATACTTACTGATATGCAATCCTTGTTATCTGAGTGCAGAGCCAATGTTGTACTTGATAGCCATTCAAATTATGTTTTTGGACAGCAAGTAGATGTTGAAACCATGACAGACACCCCCTATGAGACTTCTGACTTAGAAACTTTATCAGAATCTAAAGATCTTAATTCAAGAACTACTTTAGCTGATAATTTAAATAGCTTAAACCTTGGTAGCTCTACTAACAATGGTTTAAGCTTAAAGAAGGGAAGATTTAATGAAACGCCACAAACTGAAGATGAGCTTTGGAATGACACATTACAAAGAACATCAGGTAATATTGATCATATTATTATTTATTTACTTTCTTTAAATAGGAAAAAATATACAAATAAAAAATATTAATTACAATAAAGCAACACTACAATACAAATAATATCAAGCTTACAATAAAAGTAATAGCAATAAGAATATGTAGTTAAACACAAAAAAGAAACAATGTTCACGGATAATTTTAATTTGACTGGTTTTAAAGCTGTTAATGGGAATTGCTATCTTTAATACTGTCAGGAAGTTGATTGAACCTAGGGCAACCCTTAAAAAAGAGAGTTTCTCATATCGACTCTATTTTACAAAGATATAGAAGACTATTATTTCTTGTTGAATAAAATTAAAATTTTGGACATTAAAACCATCGTTTGCAGAATAATTCTTTGCTTGACATTAGAGATGTCAGTTCTGGATCTTTAAGGTAAATAGCCACTGAAAATACAGAGATTAGATTAAACAAATATCCATTTTTAAAGTATGTAGGAAGGGACATAATCTTCAAAAATAATTGAATTTTTATTAACCATTCAGCCTACAAGAGTGGAATCTAAGAGATGTGTCTCTTCTGCAGGGTCATGTCATATAATATGTTCATGGCTGGGAAATGAATCTATATGTTTTTTTAATTTTATTTAAGAAGAAGAATAAACATTTTATAATACAAAATCAAATAAATTTACAATGAGAAATTATTCTTAAAATATGCACCTAGATGCAAAAACATCTGTATGTGCAATAGAAATAGATTAAAACTACATAAAATAAACAATACTTACCCTAGTACTTACCTATAAACTAAACTTCTGATGATTAAAAGGACATAAATATATAAGACTAGGTATTTATAACAAATTTGAGAGGTATAAATATTTATCAAATATAAATTTTCTGATCCCTTTAGAAAAGGTTTTTATGTTTTTTATTTGTCTGATATTTTAACTTAGGTCATACAAATCTCGAAAATCCCGGGATTGAAAAAGCTTTTCGGGATTTACATCTCTACTTGACATCTAACCACAGCACTGGAGTAAAGTTAACATTAAAACAATGACATGTAAAGATTAGTTTTTAAAATTGTTTTCATACCTCTATTTTGAAGATTTTGTAGTTGACTAATTTTATTATCATTAAAAAGGAATAGTACAGATTCACAATAATCAAAATGGGATTGTATTATCGTGTTATAAACAGTTAACTTTCAGTTGACAGATTTTGGGAAATTACTTTTTAGAAATATCATATATAATTTAAATGGTATTCAAAATATAAAATATGATAAATATAAAAACCAAGATATGGAAACTATTTCAATGGTTTCATTACTTATCTTGAGAGAGATATCATTTAAATTTAACTATATTTGTATTTGTTTATACAGACCATAGCTTTGGTTATAGCAGCATTAAGTTTAAGTTTATTAATGCCAAAGAAAACAGCAGAGCACCTACGAAATTTTGAATTGAAACCTATGCCATATTTTTAGGTTATTTTAAAGCTGTTTTTATACCCTTTTCAAAAAATTTATGCTAGCTTCGAATGAAGTCAGCAGAGCACTTCAGTTTTTTGAGGTTTTTTCTAAAAACAGCAACAACTTATTTTTAGGCACTTGAAATATTGTAAAACGTTCGAAAAAAAAATATATTTTTTAAAAATACAAGGTGCTTTGCTAGCTTCGAAAGAAGCCAGCAGAGCACCTTGGTTTTTTAAATATTTTTTCTAAAAACAACCCCACCCCATTTTTAGGCTCTCGAAATATAAAATTTTTCTAAATTAATTGCTATTTTTAAATAATACAGGGTGGTTTGTTGGAACAAAATCAGCAGAGCGGCTGAGTTTATTAATCTCTTTTTCTGAAAATAACTACTTATGCCACATTTTTAGGTTATTTTTAGGCTCTTAAAACTTAAAACTTCTTGAAAAAAAATAGTATTTTAAAAAATACCTAGGTTTTTTAAGTTTTTTTTTTTTAACAACTGCTACACTTTTATGTTATATTTTGGCTCTTGATATGTTATAAAGCTTTTCGATAATTTTTTTTTAAATATGGTGTGCTTTGTTAACATACAAAACCAGTAGGGCACCTTGGGTTTTTAAAGGGGTTTTTTAAAAGCAACTATGCCACATATTTTGGCTCTTGAAATAACATAAAACATTAAAACAAAATTATTATTTGAACAAAATACGTAGTTGCTTTGCTAGCTTCGAACGAACCCAGCAAAGCACCATGTTTTTCTAAAAATTATTACATCTCATTTTTAGGATACTTTTAGGCTCTTGAAAAACATTTCGATTTTCTTTGCTATTATTGAAAAACTCTGCTATAATTTTTTTTGTTACATAGAATATTTTTAATAAAGTTTTATTATATTTTATCCTAAAAATACACTAAAAAATGTGGTATATTTGATTAAAAAAAAAAAAAACTTTGAAGTCAGCAAGAAATCACGTATTTTTTAAAAAATGTAAAATTTGTGGGAATGTTTTATAATATTTCAGGAGCTTAAGAACGTGGCGTGGTTTCAAAAAAAAAATAAGGCTGCTGGGACTTCGTTCGAAGCTGAAAAACATCCCGTATTTTTTTTTTTTTTTTTTTAATTTTTATGTCTCAAGAACGTAATGCTCTGCTGACTTTGTTCCAGCAAAAGCACCCTGTATTATTTAAAAATAGCAACTTTTAGTAGTTTTATAAAATTTGAAGAGCCTGAAAATAGCTAAAAATATGGTGTGGTTCTTTTTAAAAGGAAAGCTTTAAAAAACCGAGGTGCTCTGCTGTCTTTGTTCGAAGCTAGCAAAGCACCCTGTATTTTGTAAAAATACCAATTTTTTCTGAATCAATATTTAGTTTTAGTTTATTACTTTTTAAATATATAGCGATATTATTTAAAGAATTATTCATTTTTTGAATAACTACTTCTATATCTTTATCACTAACTAATACCAGAGCGCCATCTATAAAAAGATGTATATAATCACATTCACTACAATTGTTGATATCTTTAACATGAATTAAGAATAACAATGGCCCTGTAATACTTTCATGAGGAACTTCATGTACTACATTAATTGCTGTTGAAATAGAAGCATTAATTTTGGTTGCTTGTTTTCTGTCTATAAAGTAATCACTGATCCAATCAAATACTTTGCCTTTTATGTCATATTTTTTAATTTTTTGAGTAATATTTCAAGATTGATAGTTCTAAATCATGTTTAAGGTCTTATGTAGCCTTTATTTATCTTATCTTTCCATTCAGTAACACTAAGTTGAAGTGTTGATTCACAAGAATGGTTGGATCTAAAACCAGATTGGTTACTAAAGAGTATATTTTTTTTATTAAAGTATTACAACAACTGTTGATAAACCACTAACATTTTTTCAGCATAGGGCAAATTATTGATTGACCAGTATTCATCGCATTTGTTTGTTTTAGATCCTTTTTCAATATGTCTAACTATACTAATTTTTAAATCATCTGGAATGCACGAACCATTTATAAAATGACACTAGACATTTATAATTATTTCAAAGCTGCTCTTTATAATTTTACTACATATTGCATCATTGTGTGACCCTTTGTTTTAGTCACTAAAACTAAATGTGACAGGTAAACTCGACATCTATGCCAGAAATAATATCTTTGACCCTTTTCACAAAAATCTATTAAAACAATTAGATAATTCAGTTTTTTCTCTAATAAAGACCATTATTTTAAATTGAATACCATTAGCGAAATAATTAACAAACTGTTTTGGATTGATTTTTTTTTAACTTTCCACATTAAATAAGGGTTATTTATGTTGCCATCAAACTGTTTAAAATAAAATAACTTAATTATCTTAATAATATTAACAACAGCATTAGTTTTATTTTTATAATTTTGCCAATTAACATCATTATAATTATTTCTAAATAACTTGTATGCAGAATCTCTCTCTTTACTTAGTTTTCTAATATGATCATACCAGGGCAAATCGTTTTCACAAAAAGTTTCTTGTTTTTAAAGGTGGATTTTAATTTAAAATGTTTTCACAATTTTGTTTAATGTTATTATATGCGTCACAAAAATGGATAAAGGACCTATGTACATTTTTTTTAAATCGATATTTTTGCATAAATGATGGTCCTGTGCAAAGCTGGGTAATTCCTAGTTAAAAAGTAATTAATAATTACAAATACTTTTTTCATGTAATTTGTAATTGTATTTAAGTACTTTTTTCTTAAAGTAATTTGGAATTGTAATTGCAGCAGAATCTGTGGAGGAATTGTGCTTTGTAATTATATTATTTAAATTGTCTAAATACAATAAAATTACTTCTCATAAGTACATTTTTTTTTCAATTACAATTACATTTATAAGTACAATTACTTTTAAATGTGTGTTTGCGAGATGCATGTAGTATAAAAACAAGAAATTTCCTGTGCATTTGACGAAAGCTCTGTGCTGAGGAAAGATCCTCAGTAATGTAGTGAAATTGTTGAACCCAAAATAATAACTGTAAGAGGTAAATAGATGTAGATACCCTTATTTTTGAGACATATTTTGTATTTATATTATTATAAACAATTTATGTTTCATAAACATTATAAACTAAGAAAATATAGTATGAAGTGATGCATACAGCAGTTTCTGGGGTTGAATAAACGGCCTCAGACTAATGATGCCCGATTTGTATGGTATGATTATAATATAAAAGGGCTAGGTACACGAACTTTGTATTTTTGTTTCAAATCAATAAACTTTTAAAAGCTCACATTTTATTACTAATTTCCCTGTTCCATTTTTTATACTACTTGTTACTTGTTATGGATTTTGTGTTTTCCCTTGAGTTAAACAGACCTTTAAATGGTACAGAAAACAATACGCTTAGGGTTGGTTGTATAAAGCCACATCTACCACAACCCATTCATAAATATTGTTTGTTTACACACCAACATTAAACGTCAGATAAGGTTGAAAATGGCGTCGTTGTTTACATTACTTATATTATTGGCATGGGCGTATCATTAACAGGAAAATGGTACAGTAATAAAAGAATTCTGTTAAAATTTTTATTTATATATTTATTTACATAATGATGTATTATTCAAAAGCTAAGAATAACGATGTTTAAACAATTTATAAATAGTATGATGACCAATGTAACATTTTAAAAATATAATATTGCTAATACACTATTAATTTACAGAAAACTGTGCAATTTTCTAGGAAAGGTTTCAAGAAGTATGATGTTTAAGGTCTAAGGACCGATTCCACCGTTGTGTTAAACGAAGTTTAAAATGACATTTTTACATTAACAACGTCATTTTAATCTCCGTTTAACACAACGGTGGAATCGGTCCTAAGATACTTAGATATATTGAAAAGAATTCATCTATATTTCCTGAAAAGAGATCTTTTAGTTCTTATCAATACTTTTGATGCTATAATCCGTTTAGAGACTGAAGAGTTAAGTATGCAATTAATAATTTAATATTTTTAAAATGTCCCTTAACTGGATACAACAAATAACAATGCAACATCATAGCTATGCATTGCTTTGTTTTGAACAACAATTGCGATTGAACAACTCTACAAATATGAAGTATAACTATATAGTACATATGAAAAATTGATATTGATTTTGTTCATATATAAAACCATTTAAACCAACTTTATTTTAGTTATAATAGGAAAGATTTGTTCAAGTGTTTTACACATTTACACGATTTGGATGTTAGTATAGCGTCTCCTTATACTTTTATATATTTATAAAATAATTTTCCTACCGCTTGTGAACCAATTACATACTTGCTTTCTAAATGACCTATTTAAGTTACCTATACTCTTTTTTAATTGTGTAAGTCCAATCTTTCTTGAATTAAATTTTTATTAAATTGTATTGGATATGTTATTGATTATAGATTTTACTGTGTGCAATACACATAAAAAAGAAACTGTTTACATTCTTTTGATTGTCTGATTTATACATCAATGAAACAGAATATTCGCTGCCTTGAAAATGTAAATCCATTGCTGCGATACATAATATAATAATTTTTTATATAAATAAAAATTTCCTTGGTTTATTCGGTCGTTTTTATTTTTTATTGTTTAGCACAGCACTACATATGTTTCGGAAAACTTTTCCATCTTTGGGTGCAGTCAAAGTTTATTAAAACATGGGGACGATTACCAACAATTTAAATTTTTTTAAAAATAACAGAAACCCCTTGTTTCAGCGTGAAGGGGTATTCGTAAAAATTTTTTTCGAAAAAAAAAGCTTTCCTCTAAACGTGGCTGTATATTGTGAAGTATGTGGTTCGTATCCTATAAGAGCCATTACATGTTTTTCAGTTTCAGAGGTCGTTAAAGTTGTGGATGAATCAGATTTATGAACACAATGTTCTATTTGATAAGTTGTTGTTCTGCAATTAAAATTGTAGTTATTTTACCATAACTTCATGACATAGTTTCAATATTTCTATTATCTACTTGATTAAAAAATTTCATACTTTTTAAAAATTGGGATAACCTGTAGGATACTTGCAGTTGGCGGTTCACTATCTGATTCATTAAACTACTTGTAGTAGTAGTAGTAGTAGTGCTGCATGCCCTGGATAGGATATAATCCGATTAAAATTTTAACTACACATAACAGACAATTATTAAAAAAAATATATATAGGTATACCTCAGGGTTACCAGGTTTTTGAAAGATATGACGGACAGACAGGGGATTTTAGGGGAAATAGGGGGAAGTAAAAACAACTCTGTCTATTTTAATTTTTTTAATCAAAATTACTTATTTTGCAAAAAATCCTTACCTAATTTTGGTAAAGATACACTGAGGTGATTTTACAAATAATAAAGTGAAAATGTAAAGTTAGAAAATTGAGAAATCGCAAATCGAAAACCAAAGTCAGAAAACATTTTCACCTTATTATTTGAAATACCTCAGTCTATCTTTGCCAAAAAATAGGTACGGATTTTTTACAAAATAAGTAATTTTGATTAAAAAAATGAAAATAAACTGAGTTGTTTTTACTTCCTCCTATTTCCCCTAAAATTCCCTGTCTGTCCGTCATCTCTTTGAAAAACCTGGTAACCCTGGTATACCTGCAGAGCTATTCTACTAATTTTATAGTCAGCTATAAGATATTTTTTAGTAATATAAATTATATATTTAATATTATACCTTGCGAGATGGAATAAATCGTCTATACCAACTTCTTTAGAAACTGATGGAGAGCTACAAAAGGAATAAATATTTAATGATATGCAATCACATACTTTGAGGGTGCAAAAGAAGATATATTTACATTATGATTACCTTGAGGTGTTAGGAAGATTAACTTGTTTTGAACTAGCATCATTTTTCAAATATTTCAGGCCATTCGATGTAAATAAGAAATTGCTATTCTCAAAATGGCTAGAGCACCCCTTCCAAATTGATTCCCAAAATACCAAACCAAGCTTTTTTCTCTTAAAATTTGCAGGAAACCTGAAACAGTTATTAGTATCAATTTTAAATATAATTTAAAATGAAAAAATAAATATATGCTTGTTTATAAATGTACAAATATTTTATACACTACAGATACGCCAATGATTAAAAAATATAACCTATAATTTACTTCAATTTAAACTTGTAGAATAATAAATTTGGATTTAGATAATACAATTCTTTGCATACTTCACACTTTCTAACCATATTTGCAGAATAAAATGTTTAATATTGTCCAAAAAATATAAGAAACAATAAAGACGATTTGACAACTGATACTACTTAACCTTTTACAAAAACGATAGTAAAGCGTCATGAGTCATGAACAATTTAAGAATGGGATGCAGCTAAGCGCGGTTGCCACGTTTAGGCCGATTTTTTATTATCACTGTACTTATTTTTTATATAATTGATTAACAAAGATTATATTTGGTTTGTAGTATTTCAAAAGTTGCTTCAACCCGATCTTACACGTACTTAATAATTCAGTTAATATTAACAATATTTAACGGGAATATTAGAGGTTTCGTATTTGCTGAAAACTATTAGAAAGTAATTTAGATAGACTTGGCAATGTGGTAAATCAACTGTAATCTTATCCACCACATTAGCTTAGAATGTGATTGATTGTTGTCGATCACAGTGGTTACATCTTCTGGTTTCTATATCTATGTATAAAGCTTACTTAAAGTTAAGCTCAGTTTTAGGTGATATATGTCAATTTCCGATTCTATAGGTTTAGGGCCAGTCTTTTCATCTCTGAGTAAAGTTGAAAGTAACTACTTGCTGATTAAATTATAGGGCTATTGTTTGTTAATCTGTCAAGTAAACCTACATGTAACTTTACTCAGGTGAAAAGATCGACTCTTGGTCTAATGTTCGGGGAAACAAACCCTAAGTGCTAAATGATGTTTAAACTGTACCCATGCTATACAAAATTTGACATGTATCACATCAAACCGAGTTTAACTTTAAGTAAGCTTTATACAACCCGCCTTTAAGTTATATTTTAACTTTAAAGAAGTCGCTGCAAACAGCTGTTAGTTGAACACTTTGATTAGTTACCTATTTAAAAATGTTATTCGTATTGGTCCGTTTGGTTCATGGTACCAGGGAATAAAGACCTATGTTTTAAGGTTAACTATTCAAATAAGAAACTTTAAACTCATATCTCAAAAGTTATTTTATTAGGTAAGAGTGTATTCACTATAATATAATTTGTTTTGTTTTGTCCACTTTAAGAATGGGAATACATTATTAATAATAATAAACTTAATTGATATGGAAAAAAAATATATTGAAAGTAAATAATAAATTTCTTTGATTCAACATAAAATTTAATATTTATAAAAAAGAGTATTTATGTTTTATATTACAATGGTTTTTGATCTTTTGAACAAAAACAGGAATTTTAATGAAGAATAAGAATCATAAATTAAACCATTAATAATAAAGTTTAAATTGGTTTTTAATTTTGTTCATAAATAAATATTTTTCAGAATATCAAGAACCTTCAATAAAAACTGAAGAAGCAGACAATTCTATTAAAAACTTATCCATGAAGGATGCAAACAATTTTCAAGAAAATTCACCTGAAGATTCTGATGAAGCTGAGGATGATATTTGTATAATATCTAGCAATGATGATGACGATGATGATGTTGATACTGACGCAACAGTAGAAAATACAAAACCTTCTGAAGAATTACAAACTTACGAAGGCACAAATTCACCTTTGGAAACACAAACTATATCTGAAAAAGTGCAAACCGAAAATGAAATGTATTCCTCCAATACAGACTTTGGTATAACTGATAAGACAATCAAAGATAAAAATTGTGAAGTTCCACAACCCTCATACTTGGAAATAAAGGATAATATTATTATGGATCATATAAATTATAATATAACGGAATTAAATGAAAATAGTTCTAATGAAAAAACTCAAAATGTTGCTGAAAGTTCTACAATTGAAGCAAAAGAGACTGGGAATGTTCCAAACGCAATTGATGCGGATGAATATATTAATCCGTATTCTGTTGAAACAGAATCGAATTGTTCTAATGAGGATATTAAAGAAGAATATAATGAATTAGTCCACACTAAAACCATAAATCTTTATGATGAACATAGTTACAGTGCATCTTCAAATGAATCAGATAATTTATTAGCTGGTTCAAGTGATTCTAATCATGTGAAAGATTCTGGGAATAAAATAAATTCAGCTAATACAAATCAAATCGACAGCTCTGTTGAAGAATCTTTAAAATTACCAAATGATGCTATGAAAGATACAAATAATTCTGATGAAAATCAAACTACAGAAGCCAAGATTAATAGAGATAAATGCTTGAGTCAAAATCACTCTTTAACACCCACTCAACTGGATTATGAACTTTCACACTTGGCTGATAAAATTGACAGCAATGAGTCCCAAACTCAAAATTTTAGTGAAAATTACATTCATAGTGAACACAATTATAGTTCATCTAATTCTCCAAATGGTGCGATAGCCTGTAATTATGATAGTGATGTAACTGATATTGATAAAAATGATTATTCAGATTCGGAAAAAACACAACTGAAGTCGAATAACTTTTATTTTGAGGTTCCAGAAGAACAAACCAGTTTACAAAAAAATGATAGTGATAAATCATTTGAATTTGATATTACCACCAATGGAGATTTAGGTGATTATTATTTATGTTTTAAAATGGTTTGCCTTAGTATTTCAACATCATTTTGGCATTTTAACTTATTTGTTTTAAATTTGTCGAAACCTAGTTTTGGGTAGGTATTATATCGTTTCAAAAATTTCATTTATTTTCAAAGATTCCTAATTTTATTTAAAGTAGATAGACAAATATATTAACAGATATCATTTCATTTTACTTAGTTTATTATGACAATAATTTAATATATTTTAAATAAAACGGATAACTTATTTTCACCTATTGATGTAGTGTAATGTTTCAACTAGATTCTTGCCCAGATCATTTTAAATGATGATCTCGATTTGCCTTTCCTCTTTGGCGCCCATACACTCGTGAATGGGTGAACATAAAAACTAAATTTGCAGCACACATCACACCTACCCTCAATTGTACTGATATAAAAAACGAATAACAAAAAAAAAACAAAATAAAACAAAATTAAACAAAATAAAACAAAATAAAACAAAAGCAAAAAACAAATCGAAAAAACAAAAAAAAAACAAAAAAAAAAACAAAAAATAAACAAAAAAAACAAAAAACCTGGAGTATACATGGCCTTCACATACAGTTAATTGAATAACAAAGGAGATCTTAAGGTCTGTGTAACAGCAAAGTCGAGCGACCATTTTCCTCCTGAAAACAACTACTCCCTTGGCTAAGACCCCAATAGGCATTGCATTATATCAATGTTATTAATTTTAAATTGGTCACATTTGAGAATTGGAATTTAATTCCTCCAGAGTTAATTGCATAACAGTAAAACAAATTTATTGCAAACTTGAAATAATAAGTTGTTTAAAATAAAAATAATAGAAGATGATAAGATAAATAATAATGACCCATTAATAAAGAACAAATAATGCTTTAATTTTATAAAAATATACTGAAGAAGACTCAAAAAGAGGCAGAAAGTTTTACAAAACATAAGGTAAAACTAGTTTTATTTAAAATTAAATCAATACCTACATCCCTAGAAAATCAAAAGAATAATTATAAACAATTATTATGTTCTGGTTAACTGGAATAGTTAATAGGTTTAGGTATACCCACAAATAGTATTAATAATTACTTGTTTCTTTTATATGCAAATCAATGTAGGATTGGATGATTCCATTATTGCTGAAAATAAAGATGCAACAAAAAATGTGCCAGAACAAACTTCTACTCCAGAACCTACAAATAATAATAACGGTAAGTCTTTCTGGAAAATCTCAAATAAGAACTATATATAGACACTAGATTTAATTCCACAAAAAAATGTTTTTATCATAGGCCATAACTGACAATGACTGAAATATAAAAGTCATGTCTGTGATAACTGCGCATGGCTTTGAATTAATATCCAAAGTAAGACTTGAAGAATTGTAATCTACAATTTTTTTCTTAGGCCTACTTTAGAAACATTTTTTGTGTTTCACTTCGTATTATCAGATTTAATAATTAAGGAGCATTGGAGCAAAACCGAATAAATCCACTTTATATGAAAATTTAATTAGCGGCGGATTTCAACTGACTTTTTTTAAATTACATCTTTATAGACTACATGTTCGAGCAAAACTAAATAAATATTTGTTAAATTCACGGTTGAAATCAATATTTTCATGCAAAACCGAATAAATCCACTAGTATACGAGTAGTAGTGCAAACAACGTGCCGGTGTTCGCTGCAGCTTGTAAGAGATATTTTTTATTTGGAATTGTTTTTCATCTTACATTAGTGCGCATACCCTGTCAACATACACTGGTATAAATGACGTCTTTTTTTAAGTACTTCCACATATGATTATGGTTGATATACTACCCAATATATTCGTGAAAATGTCCGCGCTATAAACATATTATTTGTCATATATAAAAGTCGATTACTACTAATTTATGCACCTACAATTAATCCTGTTTACTATAGGTCTATTGCCACGTGTGAAATGTACCTCTTCGAGCAGAGTGATTAGATTTTTGGTCACGTGACATCGAGCAAACTATATCAATGGAACAAACTGAGAAAAAACGGTATCGAGTAAAAAAAGCAAAACCAGGTACTTTTCAAATGCAGCATATATTTTTCTATTCTACATTATATTGTTACACTAGTTTTTGGTATCACAATTTATTTTAATTCAACTTTACAATATCTCAATTCAACTTTAACAATAACGATACAACTGATAACATTAACATGTAACATCTATCATAAAACTGAAAACTCTGACGTCAGGTCGTCGCCTTATATAGGACTGGACTTTTCTTTGACAAGGAATGACATTTCGAGACATTTCGGGAATATTCATCTTCTTCATTTACTCGTACCTTTACTTACGACGACCGCAGCACGCAACAGGGTGCTGCGTAACAATATGTATAAATACCGTTGATATGCTATACCCAATATACACGTGAAAATGTCCGCGCTAAAAACGTATATTCATAGGCCTGACTCGTTTTTATAGTTTTGTCAGAAATGGCCTACTTAAGAATTTTTTTTTATCACGTTATATAATAATATAGAACAAATATTTTATTTCAAAAAATAAACAAGAAAATCCTAAATGGCAAACTCAACGGGATCTTTCTTTCACAAAAACAAAAAATATATATCAAAATAAAAATGTCAGGTCATCACTTTGATGTGTTTGATCCAGACGCGCCTTAGCTATATTTTTAATGGTTTGATCCATCAAATCGCTTGGTACACCATCATTCCTATAATCATGCCTTATGGCTTCTACAATAGAACCGTTTTAATACAAAGTCATATCAATATTAAAAGAAACATACCAAAAATAATATTTGTAACGATACAATTTTTTATTGATTATTTATCACGGCCTGTCCAGTTAAATTAGTTGCCACCTTGGTTGCTGAGAAACAGAAGAAATTTCGTAATGTTCATGGCATAAGTCCTAACATTTACTCTGTTAATGCAGGCCAGGCATATTTTCTGCAAAAAAAGAATTATAACTATAGCCAGGGTTATTTTAGACATTATATAAAATAAAATTTATAAAAGTTATAAAGTGAGGTTATGTTTTAGAGGTTCTATAGGCATTTACCTATATGTAAAATGCAGGAATTATTGAAAGAAGAGCTAAAATAAAATAATATATAAACTTACCTACGCTTTTAATCAATATCTTTGAACACGTGCACTCAAATGAATATGGATAGACGGATGAACGACCTACACAATAATACCACAAATCCCTTACTGAAAATACAGTATACACTACCCAATACACATGAGTAGAAATGAGAAAAGACTGTTCCGCCTTATCAAGTAGTTCCACGTGTATGAGGAATTTGTTATTAATGTTGCAAGTGATATAATAAAAAATGTGAATGTAATATAAATAAATATACCAATAAGCTTTTAATAATAATTTAAATCTGGAAATATGCATATAAGATAAATTATATTTAAACGTGGTATAATATACAATAACTATTATCTACAAAAAAACCGTTTAATTTAATTTAAAAAACGTCAAGTATAAAAATAGTATATTATGTTAAACGTTGAAGAAATCAAGACGAAATTTAAACAAAAATTATTAATGAAAAAGGTTTTATAACGTAATTGTTTGTTTCCGGGCTGTTATGCCGTGGTCTTTCTTGGTTATTAATACCGATCATTTCAGCCGCAACTGCGGCAGCCATGTTCGGTGGCGTGGATGAAGTACTCTTCTCGGCGTATCTTGAATACTCCTTCGCTCCGGGTGTGGTATTTATATTTGTGTCTGTTCGCGTTTTTTAATGATGTGTTCCAGATCCTAGGTAATGTTGTTTTTTCTTCGTTTCTATTGAAGTTCTTTTGACGTTTGTGTATTTCTATAGCCTCCAAGTTCAATCTGGTCGAGTAATGTCATCAAGAGTCCTTCGTCCACGCCACTGAAGACGTTTGGTAGTAATAACCAAGAAAGACCGCGATATTACAGCCCGGAAACAAACAATTACATTGACGCCGGCTGTGAAAGCCTACATTCTTACACATATAACATTTTATAAATTTATACGAATTTAATTTAAATAAACCCAAACTTATATTTAAGCTCACTGTCACATATTTAAACGTAGAATAATTTACAATTGTATAGCATAGGACGTAAAAAAACGTATATCATTTAAAAACGGTATATACAGTGTGGAACAGCCAAATGGAATAAATTCGGCGATAAATAAATGGGGCCGTGTTCGGAAAAACGCTCGATTGGTATTTTTAGTTGCGCATTTTTTTTAATAAAAACTTTTTATACAGGGTGTGCCATGTAACAGTGGCCAATACCAACTTTCTTATTTTAAATGCAACACCTAGTATATTTTTCAATTTTTGAATTCTTCGAAAATTCTAGACATTTTATGTACTATGTCCTATAAGAAAGTAAGCAAAAACCATTTCAGCGTTCCTTTTTACTGATATGAAATAAAAAAAGCTATATGCACTTAAATAGTTTTGTTTACTTTTGTTTAAAACGTCTGACCTTAGCAAATTGTTATCTGACTGCATGACAGTAGTTGTCAGTGTTATAGTCGTTTGAATTTCCTTAACTGCATGTCAGAAAAATAGTTTATTTAACAGAAATGCACAAAATAACAATTCTACAGATTATTGGTTATGGAGATAACACACGGACACAAATGGAAGTTGCTCGCTTATTTCATGAAAAAATTCCAGATTTTCCGCGTATATCCCAAGGGACAATTAGTAAATTAGAGAAGCAGTTTCGCAAGCTTGGACTCATAAGGCAGATAAAAAACCAGCTACCAATGCGATAACTAATGATACAAAATTGGATATTATGCTTAAGTTTCAGGAAAACCCACATACTTCTAGTCGACAAGCAGTCCCAGTGTTCGATATTAGCCACATGTTTTTTTTTCTGATGAATGTACATTTACACTTCACGGTCATGCTAATTGTGAAAATTGCCGCTATTGGTCTAGGGAAAATCCTCACTGGATGAGAGAAGAACATACGCAATACTCTGAAAAGGTTAATGTTTGGGCTGGAATTGTTGGCGATCATATCATAAGTCCCTTTTTTATTGATGGCAATTTGAATGGCGATAATTATTTAGCACTGCTCCAAAATAATGTCGTGCCAACTTTAATGAACTTATATCCCGATCCAGCAAATCCACAAGTTCCAGCGAATATGATGTGGTTTTAGCAAGATAGAGCACCGTCCCATTACCAAATCAATGTCCCTGCAGTACCTCAATCGAGTATTTCCAAATCGGTGGATAAGGAGGCGAGAATCGATGGAATGGCAGCACGATCCCCTGAGCTGACATCATTAGACTTATTCTTGTGGGGATATGTCAACAGTATTGTATACATAAAAATAAACCTCTTGACCTATCTGACTTAAGAAGACGAATAACGCTTGCGATTAGATCGGTCACGCCTGAGATGTTGAGTAACGTTAGAAGAAATTTTTATTTCAGATTAAGATGTTGCCAAGAGGTTGGCAGCGAACATTTTGAACATATCCTACATTGAGATGTTTTTTTTTTGTTACATTATCAAGAAATAAACGGTATTACTTATTAGTTAGTTTTTGAATGTGTTGTAACGAATTTCTGTAATCAAATAATTTTATTTTATTAATGTTAATTTTTGCAATAAATCGGGAAACATTTAATATTTTCGAAACAGTTAGCTATAGGACATAGTACATAAAATGTCTAGAGTTTTCTGAAGAATCCAAAAATTAAAAAATATAGAGTGTTGCATTTAAAATAAGAAAGTTGGTATTGGCCACTGTTACATGACAAACTGCATAAAAAGTTTTTGTTAAAAAAATGCGCAACTAAAAATACCAATCCGTGCGTTTTTCCGAACACCCCCTTATTTATTTATTACAGAAATTATTCCATTTGGCTGTTCCACTCTTAATAATAATGGTAAACTGTAAATGTATATGGAATAGACCAATACCAAATTTAAATGAGAATTACGTATAAAATACCTTAATTATACTAATGTGTAGTGCCTGGGTAGTTTTGAATTTTGATTTGAGTAAAAACTGAATAAATCCTTTTTTTTTGTTATATTTTTAACAAATAATTTTACAAAATTGTGTTTGCAAAGAATGTATTAACTAGTACTTTTTGTGCAGTTGGAAAATCGTGTTTGCTCCAAAGCTCATTAATTGCTCTGATTTTTATCATAAAAATTGAATAAAAAAAAATGACAACAAAGCCAATTCTTATAAAAATAATTTTTTGTTTATCAAAATTAATATGAAAATATTATTGATATTTTCTTCTCTATTAACGTCAATATACTTAAAATCATATGGAAAACATTTTTTGTACTAATTTTAGAAAAAACATAATTCTTCATGAAAAGTTGTGCATTATCTAAAAAATTATCATCAGATATCGATTTTTTTCAGTCTCTTGCGAGGTTCGTCAAAAAATATAAATTTTGTTCAAGAGCACAGTACCTTTATTTTTGACAAACCTCGTATACGACTGATAAAATTTTATATCTTATAATAACTGTATTTTGGGTTTTAGGCCATGCACAACTTTTTATGAAGAATAACTTTTTTCCTAAAATTAATAATAAAAAAGTTTTCCATATTATTACAACTTAAGTAGATACACAGTATAAATGAAATGTTTAAAAAGTTTTTCATACGTTTCACAAAAAATATTCCTATTAAAAATTTTTAATACATTAGTTTTGAATTATTTATTGAATTTAAAATCGTAATCACTTAAAAACAAGTGCAATAATACTGATGATATTTATAATCTGATTAAACAGGGGATTTAAAAAGTTTGCACGTTAAGTGAAAATATTAACACAATTATTAATAAATATTTGCTTCTTTGTTTTATGTCCATATTTATAAAGTAGTGGATGATACCATTACTGATGAAAATAAAGATGCAACAAAAAGTGTACCAGATGAAAGTTCTGCCCCAGAACCTACAAATATTAATAATGGTAAGTCTTTCTTGGAAATCAAAAACAGAAAATAAATATTGACACTAGAATAACTGTGCTGGCAGGTTACCATAACGTCTGAAACATTTTAATTTATTATATTTATAAAAGGCTGTCCTCTATTTATTATTTCTTGAAATGACATCCTGCGAGCTGACTAGTAATTTTGTGTTAAAATTATGAGTGTGGCTAATATGAGTGTGTGTTGCTTACCACGTTTAACATTTATAAACATTAATGGGTTATCTCAACATACAGGTAAAACCTTTAATCATATAAACCGTGGGTACATAATTCATACCCTGTACTACTCCATCAACTCCAGAATTTTTCGGCTAATCTTGTTGTCACGGTTGGTGTTTATCCCTACTAGACATAGGGGTGAAATAAAAATTAGAATGTCTAAAAAATGTTTATTGAAAATTGTTTAATAAAATAAGTTTATTAAATTTTAATATAAAAATACCTTTGCAAAAATAAGTATTTTTCAACAAAAATTATAATTTCGATCAAATCGAGTCACGCATTCAGATTTATGTTGTTTTTTGGGATTATCTTGAACGTTTGTATCAATATTTAGCGGCTCAACTTTAAAATAGTTCTGTTTACATGCAGGATACAGGAGATATTTTGTTTCCTTTTCATTTATCACCACTGTGAAAACCCAATTTTTTCTATTTAAAACCGTATATGGTCTAATGCTTTTGTAAAGGTTTTTTTACCGGCATCAACCCTAAGAGCGGGTTGCACAAATAATGCTATAAACTGAGTTTAACCGATGATTATAGAACGAAGTTCACAGTTTAAGGTTTATATGGACCCTCGGAAAAATTAAACATGTGTTCAAAAAATTTGAAAAAAATCATGAATATGTATATTGCTGCATGTAATATTATATCAAAATATGGTTAAAATCCTATACATTTTAAGGGTGCAAATATTCAAAAAACTCACTTTTTTTTCAATTGTAAACAAACGAGGTATATTTTTTACGTTTTCTATATATAAAATAAGTAAGCATAATATAAGAAACATTGATGAATTTTTTCAAAATTTTTGAACGTGTGAATTTAACACAATCATAAAAAAACAAATAATAATGTATATAATAAAGAAAGTATTAGGTTTTTGAGTGTAATCTATAAGAAAATATATAGAAGAGTATCATTACTAAATATCTGTGGTATTACTTTGAACAGTTCGTTAAAAACACTCCAAAAAATGAGAAAAACTCTAACTAAAATTTGAATTTCCTCCATTCATTGTTGTTCCCTAGTCACTGCTGCCATCTCTTATTGATTTGTACTTCTGTCAACAGATGGCGGTAGGACGACCATTTTTGTAGACGCCATGTTCAGTCCAACTGCAGGTATTTAATAAGGTGTTGCCAGATTACCGTTGTTTTTGTTAAATCTTCTTACTTTGGCAATGTTTTAAATTATGGATTTTACTTTAACTTAAGAGGAGTATTTATTTGGCTTTAGAGCAGAGCATGCAAGGGTTTGGTAGTACCCCACTTTTAAAGTTTATTTTTGACATATTTTAAAAGAAAAAATATGTGCATGTAGGTAAAGGTTAAATATGTGCTCCTCTGGAAACACTTTTTCAAAATTTCAATCTGTTTTTTTCTAAAAAAAAAACACAAAACTCGACTTTTTTAATCCATTTTCTCAATTTTTTTAAGAAAAAACAAAATTGAATTTTGAAAAAGTAATTCCAGAGGAGCATAGATTTAACCTTTATCTACACGTACATATTTTTTTTCTTTTAAAAATACTCAAAAATGAACTTTAAAAGTGGGGTACTACGAAACCCTTACATTGCAAGATTTTTCGTCTGGCAAGTGGCGCATCTGTTAGATTTTTAAGAAATTAATATTTGTGAATGAAAATAATTTACAAAATATTTTACTGATGTTTTACGAGGGATAATTAAAGTTTACGTATTTGTAGGTACACCTTATTGTTTTACGTAAATCATTTCTGTAATACTAATATAGACATATTTATATTATAATATGCAATGGGTTTCATAGTACACCAATTTTACGAATTATTTTTTATTTTTTGAAAAATTATGTAAGTACAGGTAAAGGAGTCACTTTTTGAACATTTGAATCGGTTTATTTTAAGAAAATTTAAGAAGATATCTTTCTATCGAAATAAAAAAAAAGAAATGCTAGAAGGGAACAATATATGTTGTTTTTAATTTTTGCAGGAACATTTACTTTTCTCAATAAAAATTTAAAAAATACGTTAAAATCTTTTTCGTCTAGAGGGCGACACCAACAAAATGTATATCCTTTTCTACTTTTTACAAGTGATAAACGTACGTAAGTGATTTGAATTTATTTTGTTTTATGTCTAGACACTTTGTTATTTTTACATACAATTATTTTAAATTAATTTTATCATTTGTTTATTAAAAAAATATATCCGAAATTAAAAGGTATACAATGAGATTTGAATTATAAATTAACTTTTATATTGCACGGGAGTTTTTTTTTTAATGAATGCATCTTCGAGTTAAGAATAATGAATTCCAGCATGTTAACAACTCTTTAAGCTGTTAAAGTGATGTATATTTTTTCGAACTTAGTAAATCTTTTTTTTTGCTTTCGAGAGTGGCTTTGATCTCGCAGTTTCGTGCGTAAAAGTGCATCTTCTAGCACTTGTTGCGATAACTACTATTTTGGTCCAATGCACAATAAAATCTTTGTAGTGAGTAATTGTTTATACTTATTTAAAAAAAATTTCAGCCCTTCAAATTTTTTTTTAAAAAGTAATTTTTTAAATATAATTTTATCATTTAACAAAAAGGAAGGCCCTAATGAAAAACGTAGTATAGCTCTGTTTCTCTCTACGTGTCGGCTGACAGCCTCTTACATGTCTCTAACAGTAAATGGGTATCTCGGCACCTCTACAAATAAGAGTTTATTGGGAAATATTTTAGAGCAATATGACCCACAATGACTTACCTGCACCTAGGGATCTTGCAAAACATCAGCAATATTTCAGTTATTTCCTGTTATTTTCAGACAAAATAAATCGACCGCCTCCACTCCCCTCACTCCTCTCATACTCGTAAAATTTTAACACAAAACAACAAGACATGCAGTTAACGCAAATCTTACCGGCCCTACTCCCCTCACTGCTAGAGAACTAGAAAGATGAGTCACCCGTCATAGGAATGAAATAATAAAAGGGTTTGCTAATTACATAAATATATTTTATGAACGAAAATGTCCATTTCGTTTTGCAGAAACTCGTACGCTTGGACTACTTATCACTTTCCTATTCACGCCGATGTAGACGGACCAAATACATATCATAAGATCTGCTGAACGCTTTATTTACTAAAGAATAATTAGAAGAAATTAGAATAAAACAAATCGTTTGTCTGCTGTTTTTAAATTAAATAGGTACCTACTACAATTCCACTTCCCTGAACCAGTATAGGCTACTCTTAAACTAAACATATTATTTTTTTTTATATTTTCTTTTTGACCGGGCAAGGTCAAAAATATCCCTTCTAGATAGCAATACTCCCTGATAATTAAAATACACGTGATTATTAGCGATTTGTTTATAGATAACATATATGTATAAATTTTATATTTACAACTTTAAATAAATAAGAAAATAGCTAATAAATGTTTATTGATAATTTAAGTACATAATTTTTGAAAAAGTATAAGTATGACACATTTGCAAAAAATATATAAATTGACTAACATAGATTATCAAACAAATAATATTAGCAGAGTACTAAAAAACACAAATGGAGTTACATAAATTAATAAGTTATTATCTAAAAAACATTCAATGCTCTTCTAAATTTGTTTTATATTATTTTGTCCATTTTTATATTTACTCGTAGTGATTTTATGAAGTAGTAAAGCCATTCGTTCGATCACCATTCTACTGTTAAATCATGGATAATTTTTTTAATACATTTTTTATTCATAAAACTGAATAAAGATAAAGAATGACGTACATGTGACGTACTATTACCGTCTTAAAAAATGTTGCTACAATAACTCCTAATTGGCATATTCCGCGCGTGCCTGCTATCAACAAGTTCAACTCCATAGTGCGTATAATAAAAACTGTGAAGTTTTTTTAGCATGGAATTTGCGAACGATTCATCATATTTTATTGTTTCTATATGGACTCCTCTCGGTGTCCAAATAATGAAGTCGCAAAACTTGCGTTTGCAAATATGGAGTTGCCCTTGAATTTGATAATAATAATTGTGACTTTTTTTGAGCGACATACTTTTTCCATCTTTATTTACATTACAGTAAAAATTTTTTAATTGATTAGCAGCATCTAGTGGTGTATATTCGCGAGCGGAATAAGGACATTTGACTTCAATTATTTTATCGTCATTCACTAAACCATCGGGAGAAGCTCCTAAGAAACCAAAACCCTTGTCCACACACACAAAAAAACCGCATTGAATAACACTATTTTTTGTTTGACGTACATATGCTTCAATTGCTACTGATTCATTTATTTTTCCGTATTCCAGAGCTTTTAGCCGTGGTAAAGGTTTGTATAGAATTGAATGAACCAGGTTGCCATGATTAATTCTTCTTTTGCAAATTTCACCAAAGGTTGATGCTGTAAGACGAGATTGTCTCTCCTCAAACCATTTAAGATTTTCTGTTTGGCCTCTAGTCGACTTCTCAATTTCTACAGCAGTTTCAGGAGTGACTTGTAACACCTGAATTTGCTGTTTAATTAATGCCTGAATTTCTATGTTTGGCAAATCAGGTTTTTGGCACTGAAGGCCATAATCTGTCAGTTTGCTATTCGATATTTTAGTACAGTTTTTAAATAATCTTCTTTTTGGACGATTAATGTCTCTAACTTTTAATCTTTTCTGTACTAAACGTTTTAAGGTCACTGATGGAGTTTTACCAAATTTCTTTCTGTATACTTTAAGAAACCAACTTGGACCGAATTGATACGCTAAAGCAGCACCATAGCATCTTA